GAGGCGTTGCCAACGCCCGCCGAGGAGGTCTTGAGGAGGGGCGTCCAGAGCTTGACTTCATTCACCTCATCGCATCCTCCCGGGCCAGCGTGGGGTTCCGCGAGGTCGACCTTGTACCCCTCGTTGTACTGCCGGGTGAGCTCTGGTTTCTCCTTGTCACCGTGCACGACCGGCGCGTTGGCCGGGGCGCGCATCGCGTCCGCCCAGGCGGCGAGGACGCCGTCGTGGGGCCGCCGGTGGTGGGCCTTGTTGTAAAGGTAGTCGCCGAAGAAATCGACTGGCATGCCCCGCTCGAGCGCGACCCGAAGGGTGGGAAGCGCCACGGAGAGCCAAAGGCCGAGCTTCCGCTGGAGCTCGTCCTGGAGGGCGTCGGAGGAGAGGGCGGTGGCGTACGTGCCGTCGACACGGACATCGAGGGCTTTGCCGGCGTTTTTGTTGCACGCCGCCACCACACAGGGATTTCACGGGAAGGAAGGTGTGTTGCTATCCGTCGCCCACCCTTGGGCGTCCGCCTCTTCCTATCTCTCTTACCAGTCCCTCGCCGATTAAGGAAGCACCGCTTACGCCTCAATTCGATACAGTGCGTGCTCTTGCCTTAGAAATCGGTGTTTAGAAATTGGCTGCTGGAAATTTGGCTGATTTCCCTGGCCGAAATAGAAATCGGCTGCTGGCACGAGGCCGGCCCGATTTCTCTGATCTGCCGCGCCGCACCCGTCAACGGCGTAGTTGCCGCTGCGTCGTCCTCGACCGCTCCGGTCAACGCCGGCGGCAAGAAACGGGCGCGTGTTACCGCGCCGCCCGTCACGCCGGAGGGACTGACGCCGTCGCGCCGCAACGGCGTGAATGCGGCGATCCTCTGCTTTTCGCCCTTTGCCTAGGCGGGCCGGCTCGTCGCGCAGGCTGTGTCTGCTGAGGCTGTGCCCACACGACCCGACCCGGCTCTCGGCTGTTTATTTTGTGCGAGACTGTTAGCGCGGCGAGTGGGGGAGGGGGGCTGTGTCGGCCTAGCCGGGTGTCATTTGACAATTACAGATTTCATACACCCTCAAAACATGGCACCAACCAGAAAAGAGATCGACAATCGGCCTCGCCCGTCACTCGCGCGTCACTCTCTGCGCTCACGGCTGCAGCAGAAGCTGCTCGAGCTCGGCGCGCACCCACGCGCACGTCGCTCGCTCGCTAGGCAGGGCGTGCGTACACGCGCTGACCACACCTGCAAGCCGGCTTTCATCGGGCACACACGGGCGGGTGAAGCCGTTCGCGACGATTGCGTCGAGCTCGTGTCGGAGGCGCGAGTCGCACTTGCCTGGCGCGTCGCCCGTGGCGAAGTGGTACGGGTCGCAGACGCCCGACGGCGCCTCGAGCGCAGCCAGGACACACCCTAGCGACCAGGCGTCGGTGCCACGCGAAAGCGGCACGACTGCAAAGTCGCGGGCCACCCGCACCTGCTCGGGCGCCCGCCAACCCGGCGTGCCTGAGTGCGAGAGCTGCGCCCCAACGGCTAGTCGCCTCGCCTGCCCAAAGTCACACAGCTTAGCGACAAGCCCCTCAGAGCGCGCCGACAGCAGCACGTTCGATGGCTTGAGGTCAAGGTGCACGATGGGGGGAGATCGCGTGTGCAGGTACGACATTGCTCTTGCAATCTGCACGCCGAGGGAGCGGCTCTCGCCCCTCTGATCCCCGATCAACAAATCTCCCAGAGTCCCTGCGTCGGCATAGTCGAGAGCGAGGAACGGCGTCTCGCGCGGGGCGCATGCAAAGCCCATCACATAGATGATGTTCTCATGGTGTAGTGCTGCCGCGATCTGACACTCGGAGGCGAAGGCGCTGCTCGCGCGCAGCGGCTGCTTCACCGCGAGACGAC